TTGATGGTTTGTGTCGAGAAGTCTGCCGTTATTCTGAGGGGCCTTCCTTTATAGGTTATCTGTTTCTTGTCTCTAACAGCTTTTAATATTCTGTTCTTATATTGAATTTCTGGGATCTTGGTTAATTTATGCCTGGGTGTAGCTCTGTTTTGGTTGTAGGTGGCTGGAGTTCTGTATGCCTCATATATCAGAATATCATTTCCTTTCCCTATGTTTGGGAAGTTTTCCTTAATTATTTCTGTCAATAACCTTTGTAGTTCCTTTGTTTGTACCCTTGTTTCTTCATTCACATTCTTTTTTTTTTATTAATATCAGTAGCAGGGATCGAACTCATGACTGCCTGCTTGCAAGGCAGGCACTGATGCTGCTGAGCTAAATCCCCAGGCCCCCATTCACATTCTTTATTCTTAAGTTATAGATCCTCTTGTCATCTTCTAGCCTTTGGATTGTTACTGCTTGTTTCCTTGTTATTTTTAAAAGGTTTTCCCTTTCATTATCCCACATTGCAAAACTGTCCTCCAGTTTGAATAATCTATCCTTAATTTCTTTTGAGCTGATTTGCCATTTTTCTACAGAGTTTTTAATTTCCTGGTAATCTCTTTGAATCTGCTTCATGTATTCTATATTTTCGTTATATTCTTCATCAAATGGTTCTCTCCTTTGTTTGAGTTCCTCCCTTCTTCCATCTGTGTCTGCTTGAGGGGTGCTTAGTATCTATTTTATTAATCTTCTTATATCTTGCTTTATTTAGCTAAATATTTCACTTTTCAATTTATCTTTGAGGTCCCAAATATATCTCTTTATGTCCACGGTGCCATGTCTGATATTGCATGTTTGCTGTTCTCATTCTGCTTTGTATTTAGCTGTCCTGGGTCAATGTCCTCAGGGTTGGGATCTGGGAACTTTTTGTTGTTGCTTCCTCTTCCCATCTTTTTTGCCTCTTCCAGGAGGCCCCAGTTTCTTTTCTTTGTTGATTACAATTCTTCTGAAGTGTGCTGGCTAGATGACCCTTCCCACTGCCATGTGCTAGTGAGTTGCAGACAGGGACAGCATGTGCTGGCCCCTCCCCTCTGGATCAGTCAAACTGCTGTGGCCTGCACTGTATTACTTTGTGCTGACTCCCTTCGGGTCAGTCAAACTTCTGAGGCCTCACTGGGTTAGTGTGGTTAGTGTGCACCACCACTGTAGGGACCTGATTTCGGATAACCTATTGGGTCTCAGCCAGATCATGTGACCCAGGCCTAGCTCACTCCACCAATCCTGTTCAGGAAAGGAACAACTGACTGAAGTCACTGCTGCCCCTTGTACTTGTCAGTCCTGCCCGGTCCCAGAATGTCATCCACTGGAGCCCCCCTTTCTGTGGAATGGCTCCACTCCTGTCACTCACCACAGGTCGATGCTGGGACCCTGCCAACTCAGCTCTCTGTTCAGCTCACAGACCCCTGACCTCAGTGTGACTGTGCCTCCAGTGAGCCAAAGTGGCAGGACCTCAGACAGCTCAGCAAGTTGCCCGCTGCGGCAAGAACACTGAACCTGTAGCTGTTCCAATAATAGCACCAGTACTGTATGTTTGGATGGTTCTTCTCACCTTAATTTTTTCTTGGGACGATAGAATTCATCTCCCTCTGTTTGGGGCTCCCCACTCTGTATTATGTTGAACTCTAAGTTGACCATCTCAGGGAGCCTCTGTAGCCAGCTGTTATCCGTCCACCATCTTTGGTAGTCAAGATGGTGTCTTTTTTTTGTATGATAATTAAAATTTTCCACCAAATTAGTAACAGGAGTAACTTCAACTCATGATAGCAACAGGGTAGTCTCACTTCTGTGAGCACGAAAGAAGCCAGATACACCTGAGTACTTCAGATAAGGTTATTCATCTATGTACTTCAAAAAAAGACAAAACACAAACTAATCCACGTATCTGGGGGTCAGACTAGGCACCCCTGGGGTACTGACTGGAAAGGAGCACCAGGGAGCTTTCTGAGTGTTTGGTCTGAGTAACGGTTACCCTACGATAGTGTAAGTCATTGAGCTACGTAACTCATGCATTTTATTGCACGTTGGTACAGATCAAATCAAAGGTTTCCCAATTGCAGTGCATACATGTATGAGGTTCCTGTTGCTGCTATAATACATTAGCATAAATTTAGTGGCTCAAAACATTGCAAATTTACCAACTTATGGTTCTAAAAGACAGAAGTACATGGTGATACACCGACAGGGCTGTTTCCATTCTGGAGACTTCAAGGAAGGAAACTGGTTTTCCCGCCTTGGCAGGTTTTAAAGTCAGCTTCTCTGCTTGGTTCATGGACGCGTCCCTGAATCACTTGGACATCTCTCTTCATCCGTCACACCACTGAGGCTGATGGGCACAGAGTTCTTTGACCTCCTTCACAAGTTTCCCAGCCTCTGGCATTGTTATAGGAGCACAAGATAGACTGTGACTGTGGTACTTCCTCATCTGGATACAGTTTCCACCTGAGAGCAGAGAGGGGTGACCACCTGGGCCATTCCCAGGAAGGCCCATCTGTCAGGTTCTCGTTTCCTGAAGGGGCCCACAGTCCTCCTGAGGAGCTAGGAAATGGATGCTTTTCCCAACCACACTTGTTGGTTCTGGGATTCCAATGGATTGGGCTGTTCTGCTTTGTCCAAGTAGCTGTCTTTCTCCCTTCCCTCCCACTGTGAGGATGCTGCTCACTGTGCTCCACAGGAGTGTGGAGCCAGCCTAAGCCTGTGACCTTGCCCTGCCCCAATTGCACAAGCTAAGACCCCGGATGGAAGTGGGGTGTCCGCATGCTGGTTCACACCAGATGGGCTGACACAGGTTTCTGTCCCCTTCCTCATGAGCTCAGGGGGAACCTGCTTCTCTGTGACCTCACTAACAGAGCCCCTATGGTCCCACTCCCCATGCCATCACCCTCAGTGCTGCCAAGCAACGTATGGTCCTTCAGGGGTGACTGCTGCTCATGAGCACTGTGGCTTCTGAAAGCAGGGGAGATCCCTGCAGTGCGGCACAGCTGCTCCAGCGCCTGGAGATGCATGCTCTCTGCAAACAGAGCTGCCCGCCTACCTCCTGCCCTTTTCTCCCTGTCCTCTGTAGCTGACCAGTGGCAGCCTTTTTTTCCCCCTTTTTCTTTTTAGGGTACTGAGGATTGAAACCAGCACCTTGGCAGTGAGATATGTCCCCAGAGCTTTCTATTTTTGTTTTGATACAAAGCCTCACTAAATCACTAAATTGCCGAGACTGGACTTGAATGTGCAATCCTGCCTCCCAAGAGTGTTGGGCTGTAGCTGTGAACCAGCACGTCCAGCTCAATGGCATGTTTTGACAGTAAATTTGTTTAGCACACTCCAAACTCCCCAAGTCTCTAGTCAATGATGTTTCCTTCCTTTCCTCAAGTGAGGTTCTCCTTGGCATCCCCTAAACATTTTCTGTGATTTAGTGGCAACTGTTTGTGCTCCTTAATGATGTAAAGGCGTTAGGGTACATATCTAGATGTCCCCCAAAGCCTTGTGTGCTCATAAGTGGGGTTTTGGTATGTGACACTAGATCAGTCCATCCACTGGTTTAGCCTAGCTCTGGCTGTGGGTGATGGATTTACTTAAAAGGGAAAACCCACCCTGGGTATGGCTGGCACCAATCAGGCTTGTAGCCTGAATGGAGTCAAAAGGCAAAAAGACTGAAATTATGTTGCTTCCTATCTGCCCTACCATGGACTGTTTCTCCCCTGCCATGCCTCTCTGCCATGTCTTGGAGACAGCCAACTATGGACTGAAACCTCCACAAACTCTGTGCTCACATAAACCTTTCCTCCTTTATCTTGTAAGTGTTAGGTATTTTGTCCCACCAACTGGGAAGTAACTAAGATAGAGGGAAAACCAGAGGCAGGACATGAATGCACCACAAACCACAGGCCTCCTCAGCAGGCCTGGACAGGCGGGCAGGTGTCCACCTTCACGCGGGAGGAACCAAGTACCCATGGAGCAGTTGGAGGCTCCAAAACTAGACCTGCAGAGAACAAAAGGGGATGCATCTGTTTCCTGCCCCAGTGAAGGGCCACAAGCTGATGGCTCGTGACCAAAGTGGCCACAGTTCTTGAGACTACAAATCTGAAATCAAGATGCGGCAGATTTAATTCCTTCCTGGAGCTTCTCAGAAGAATCCATTCCATGATATTTCCCCAGCTTCTGGTGGATGTCACAGTCCTCGGTGATTCTTGGCTGGCAGCAGCATCACCCAGATTCCTGCCACCACTACCACAGTGTCCCCCTCCCCGTGTCTCTGGGTCTAAATGTGCCCCTTCTTGTAAGGACTCTGGTCCTATTGGGTTTTGAGTCTGCTCTAATCCAATATAACCTTGTCTAAATTTGACTGCATCTGCGAAGACCCTAGTTCCAAATAAGGTTGCATTTACACATTTCTAGTGGAATTTTACGGGAACCCCATTCAACCCAGCAGAAGCAGAAAGGGAAGGGAAGTGAGGGAGGCAGAAAGGAAGAAGGAGGCGGGGGAGGACAGAACAGGAGAGAAGAGAGGAGAAGATGAGGAGAATGAAAGGGGAGGGAAGAGGGGAAGAGAAGGGAGGAGAGAAGGGGAGGGGAGGGAAGAGGAATCTGAGGTATAGTCAGGACATAGGCAGGAAAAATGAGACCAAAGGGAAGGTGTGGGGTTTTGTGGCTTAAATCTGAGGTGTTCCCTGAAGATTTGTGTATCGAGAGCCCAGCACAGCAGTGCTGTGACAGGCTTAGAGGTTCATAGCAGGAAGCATTCAAACTCTCAGATAAATGGTACCAAGAAAATGGCCTTGCCTTTCCTGAACAGAGAAGGGCCCTGCTCCCCACACCTTCTCCAGGTGCTATCTGGACAGAGCTGCTCTTAGTCTACAGCAGCTGGTAGACAGGGCGCCTCCTTTGGGCATCCAGTAGGCCCCCAAAATAAGGACCTGAAGTTAGTCCAGGCCCATGGAGCTGGTCCTGTGTGTGGGTATATTGTAGTCAGGTTTTACAAGGGAATAGATTTAATATAGGACACAATTTATAGGATTATTTTGTAAGAGTCACCCAAAAAGTCAAATGCAGAAAAGTGCAGAAAAGATCTGCTCATGCACTAGAGATCCAATGAATCCAGCTGAGGGCCTGGATCTCACGATGATGTCCTCCACGAGTCCAGCTGGAAGCCCAGAGCCCACAACGTCTCATGCAGATGTGTTCAAGGATCTTCACTGGGAAGGCCCACAGCTCAGTGGTAGAAGCTAGAAAGTCCTCCCCAGCAGGATGTAGGATCTGCGCCAACAGGTCAAGGGAGCCAGGAAATGATGCAAGGACCAGAGCGCCCTCAGGAGAACCGCAGCCATCCTCAGTGACAGTGAGCAACCCAGCCCCTCTGATGATAACAGCTGGGTTCATATTAGGAAAATCAGTGCAAGAAGTTTCTCCAGGAGAAGCAACAGCACGCCATCCCTTCCAGTTCTGCTTTGTGCTGTTGGCAACAATCCTCAGATGGGTCTTCCACACCCAGCACCACACTGGTTCAGTTCAGCTGGGTGTTACAAGTCAACCATCGGTTAACCACCACAGGGTTTGGGTGAGCATGTCATGGAGATACACATCTCCACCCCCAGCTGGTCCCCTAGACCTGTCCTCCACATACCCAGCCCCACGAGCATCCAGAGTCATCCTCCTTCTAATACAGGCCAAGACAAAGAAGGGACACACGGCAGAGTCATGAGGCTCATCCTACCCCCTGGTGCCCTGTGCCCTCTGGCTGATGTCATGCCCACGCGCTGCTGTCCTAGACGGTCCCCTGGCTCTGCTTACTGTGCTCCTCATTCCTGGGGGGCTACCTTCTCCCCAGCAGTGTGCCTCCCCACTTCTGCTCCTTCCTGGCCTTTCTGTCATTGCTGCTGGGACACTTCTGTCATAAGGATCCTACCTGTCCCTCGTCTGCAACCATAATGCCTGGCAACCACGCAGGGCGGATGTGGCCCTGCTGTGTCTCAGGACCCTCGAATTCACTCCCCAGACCTGCTGCCCCTGGTTAGCACCTTGGTGTGTGCCCTGCCCTTAGCCCCACATCCCATCTCCACAGTCACCTGCTACCTGATCCCCTCCAGCCCTTTCCTGTTCAATACCCAGGACTGTCCCTTGAAAACATATCTGATTGCTTCATTTTAGCCAAGTTTTACAATATCTGGAGGCTTCAAACAGTCATTTTTGGATTTCCCTTTGCAAACAGACTTTCCTCAATCTGGTTTCAGCAGCCTCTCTCCCTCTCCCTCTCTCCCTCTCTTTCTCTCTCTCCCTCTCCCCCTCTGTGTGTGTGTTACTGGGAACTGAACCTAGGACCTTAACCACTGAGCTACATCTCCAGTCCTTCTTTAACTTTATTTTAAATTTTGAGGCACAGTGTCTCTAAGATGCTCAGTTGTTCCAGCGGGATAGAACTTACACTCTCCCTTCCTCAGCCTCCTGGAGTGCTGGGACTACAGGTATGTGCCACCATTCCTGGCTCAGCCAGACTTAAAACCTCAGGTCCTTCACCACACGTCTACCTGTGTGCTTTGTCACAATCATCTACAGGATGCCTGGATTTTCACTTTGAAATCACACAGGCACTGATACCATTTCCTAATCATGTCATGTACATGTCTCTGTGCTTTTCCTTCTAATTTCCCCACTGTTGGGACTAGCTTTCTCCTGTTTAGTCCAGCAGAGTCCTCTCCTTTCTTTGAGACCTGGCTCGACAGCGCCTCTGCTGTGAAGCCCTTGCTTCCAGGCAAAGTATCTCACCCGGATTGTGCACTGCTCCTACCCTGAGCCACCGACAGCTCCTGGAGGTGGAAGCCATTCATAACTGATGTGCACCAATGGCCTGAGCAGGAGCCATGCAGCTGGTAAAGAGGTGAGCACGCCAGCAGTGTTCCCAGTCTCTGCTGGGACCTCCAGTCCCCAGAGCCTCAGAGCTGTGCCTGGCCAGAGACACTCTGGGTGCCCATCAGGCCCCAGCCCTAGCTGGGCAACGTCCCCAAGAAAGGAAGAGTTGCTTGATGTCCTACAATTGCTACTGACACTCACAAGTGAGCAGTTACATAATCAGAGAGACCTGGCCACCGCTCCCACTTGGAGTGAGAAATGGAGAGAGGAAAAGTCAGGGGGAGAATCACCTGAGAAGGGGCCTAGGGATCCACCTCCCCACTCCCAGTCTGTGTCTTCTCCCAGTCTTGGGGATGGGGTTCACTCCCAGGGGGTGCCTTCCCTTCCATGGGGAGGATAAAGGATCAAGCAGAGAGCATCGTACTTCTAGTTGGGGGAGTTACATCCTCCCACTGTCCCTGCTGGAAGAAGGAACATTCACAGTCCAAAGGCTTCTGCACAAATCTGACATAACCCTCGCAGCAATTCCATTTCTTAGAGGATTCCAGCATGGCTTGGAAGGTTTTCTTTCCCATTTTTTTCTCCCTCCCGCCCACTCCAGTTTAAAAAACCGAGTATTTGGGAAATTACCTCAGAGAGTCATGCCACCAACAGCAAATGAAAACCATCTGGACAGATAAAACAGTTAGGAGCTTTTGTGGCCCAGCGGGCCGAGATGTGTAGCTCATTCAGTCTCAGAGGGGCCACTTTATTCCCGAGTTTCTTTTTTCTCTCTCTCTCTCCCTAACACAGAAGAAGGCTCAGTCAGCTCATAGGAAACAGGAAGGAACCCGTTGTTTTAAATAGCAGACAGCAGAGAATTGACCCATTATGGTCTGTTCATTCAGCCAGTGACGGCAGAAGGCTGACCACTCACCCCCGCATTCCCAAGATGCCGGGCATGGGGCATGGCTTTGCTCAGACTCTGGGAGAATCCAGTCCAGGTCCTCTCAGAGGGAATTGGTGATGCCTTGGGCTTTCATTTTACTAAAGACTTTACTACACTGCTGTCTTTGAAAAAAAATAATAAGACAAAAACAAAGCTTCAGTAAAAACTTTTAAGAATACCAGGAAGCCAGACAACATCCTGTGCTTCCCTTCCTGCCCGCTCCACTCCAAGGCCTGCAAATGCGGCCCAAGCCTCCTTGCTTATCTTGGCAACAGTGGTTTTTACTTTTCTGGGCTCTAGAACAGTTGGCCTAGTGGTGGCGACCGCAGGGCCCGAAGTCCCCCAAAACAAGGCAAAGGCAGGCGGGGAAGCCCCTAACCCACTTAGTTCACCCCACCCAGCAGTGTTGGACCCAAGAGCCCAAAGGTAATGATCTTACATTCACCTTCATGACAACAAAGCACACAGATCAGGCCTGCTGGAAGCCGAATTTCATGTTTTAAAAGTCCTTTGTGTTGTGTCAGATGTTCAGATCGGGTGCTAGGCCTGGATGGGAATGCAGGGTGACCAGAGGAGGAGGCCCCGGCCTGACATGGTTCACATCGCTCTCAGTGGCCTGTGTCCTGTCACAGCAGAGCCACAGATGAACCTTGGAATGGACCTTCTGCAGCCATCTGCAGCCTCACACTCAGGCTGTCCTGACCAGGCTATCGCTGCACTCTTCAGACAGTGGCAGAGCCCCAGGGAGGATGGCGTCCCCCACCCAGGGAGCCTCCCACGGCTCTTGGAGCCACTGCATTCCTATTTTGACCTAACACAGAAGGTGACTCCTGTCACCAAGAGGAAAGATTGGGATGCTCTTTGGGGCAGCCTTATGACTCCAAGGGTCAGTGTAGCCCTGGACATTACAGCAGTGGCACATGTGTGTAGCATCTTCAGATGAAAACACTGCCCGGTCACTGCCCCTTCCTAGGACTCTGAGTGGACTCAGAAGCATCCTGGGCTGCAGGCGGGTGAGCCTCATGCCTACAGGCAGTATAAGGCAAAGCACAGGTCTTGTCTCAGATGAAGAGTTAGAATGACTATAAATTATTGTCTGAAGCTGGACAGTCAAAAGCGAAAGTAAGAGCGAATAATTACACCAGGACAAGTGGAGATGTGACTGTTCCAGGTATTCTGTGACCTGTGAGCTCTAAATTGGTGCAGATTCCAGTGTTGGGCAAATCTTTGGTTTATTTCTAACACAGCACCCAGTGATGTGGAGCCTAACAGTCCAGCCGGGTTGAAGAGGGTAGGGAAGGTCAAGAGAGTGAGGAAGTGGCCATAGGAACCATGTCTGTTCAAACCCATGGTGGGGCCTTGCAGGCCAGGGGAGAGAGAATCGGCACAGCCCAGAAAGAGCTACCTATGTAGTGTACAAATTTAACCGAATAGACTGGAACTTAAAATGAGGCGCTCTTTGGAAATATCTCACTCCTTATCTTTCTTTTCCCCAGGTAAAATTATTAATTGACCACTTCTTACTAAACAGTGATCCTCAAAAAGCAAAGATTTTTCTTTGTTCATACTTTTATTCCCATAAAAGTGTTCAATAATTTTTGATAGCTATGTAAATTAAAAGCCATGCTAAACAGCAAGTTATGTTAATATATACAAATGGCTAGATTTTCTCCATCTCAGAATGAACTAAGAAGTAAAAATCTAATCTATTATAAGAATTATGTATAAAGCAAAATAGCACAAGAGTAAATCAAGAATTAGTGGTCAAAAAATATGAAACATAAAGAGAAGAAGATTTAGCAACATTAATATAGCAAAAGAAAGCTATAAAATTGATCATTAAACCAAAGTGATGATTTCACATTATCAAAGAAAAAATCAACTGAATTTGCCACAGAATTTTTTGTGAATTTGGGGGGAATTTTTAGGAGCATGCCAAAAAGACATTTGGGGATTTATTTATCCTACCCATTGCATTCTTAGCAAAATAATCTGAAATGTTTCTTTTCATATATGGTAACAGATTATATAAATAAGAAAATGTAGAAATAAAGTATTGGTAGAAACACAATTGTTGACATGGGATTTTTTTTACAAATCTATAATATACCAGTAGTCATAAAGTAAATTAAATGATAAAAGATTTGGATAGAGCAACCCACTCAGGACCCCTTCCATCTCTCTCTCAGACAGAAGTTCTCTTTCTCTGAATGAATAAATTCTGCTCTTAACCTCTTTTGTTCCTAAAATTTGTTGTTCGGTTTTAGAGACTCATACCAGACATCTAGTAGGTTGGGAGTTTCTTTCTCCTATATTATTTGGAGGTTTCCCACCGAGATCATTGGACAGAGACATGGGCAGGTGAGTGCCAAAGCCCGGTACTCCTTTGGAATGCGTTCTTAAGCACTAGAAGATGTTCAACACTTCCATGTTGAAAAAAGCCATTGGATACTTTTCTGTAAGTGGGTGGCCAGCTACCCCATAGAGCCAAAATGGAATGGCAATGGAAATAAAAATTGACAACTTGACAACTAGAGGCATACTGTAAAAAAGAGGAAAAAATGGTCAGGATTGTCATGTTCAAATTTTTTAATATTAAGAAATAATTCTTGGTGGGAGTGTAGACTGGTACAGCTACCATGGAAATCAGTATGGAGAGTCCTCCAACTAGGATTGGGAGTCCCATTCAATCCAGCTATTCCCCTCCTGGGTATTTTCCCCCCAAAATTGAAAAGGTCATGTCACAGTGATATATGTGTACCCATGTTTATAACAGTGCAATTTGTAAACAACCCAAATGTCCACCAATCGCAGAATGGACGAAAAAGATATGGTATTTTTATACAGTGGAGTACTACTTAGCTATAAAAAGGGATGATTTTGAGGCTTTTATAGGTAAATGGAAGCAACTTGAGACTATCCTCGTAAGTGAAATAAACCAGACTCACATTTGTAAATATCGTATTGTGTCTCTAGTATAAAAAATAATAATAATAAACTGAAAGAGTAATAAGATCTGAAATGTATAACAGATATTGTAAAATGAAAGGGAAAGAAAGTGCTCTAAGGGATATAACGTATTGTATAAGTGTGGAAGATAGATGACCATATTATTAAGTTTTTATTAGTTCATCAAACAGAATGGTTTGTGCTGTCATTGTTTGATTGTCTACTTTTTATGCTTTGATTTTGTAACTTGAACAGCTACTTCCCGTATAACAATATGTAATTAAAAAAATTCTTATTTATGATCAGGATATAATTATAATCCTTCTGAGACTGTCCCCATTCATAGGTCTCTTTCTTTCAGTGGCTTAAAGCAAGTTAAGCTAGAACTAGAAAAATTTTCAGATGACCCTAAAAAGTACATCATCTTTAGAGGATTTACTCGATCCTATAAACTAGTTTGGAAAGATGCAATGTTAATCTTAAACTTCTAGTGAGAGACAAGCAGCATTACAAGCTAATTCACCTTTGGAGGTGAATACCATATTGTTAATTTCAGAAAGTCAGAAGATCAACAGCCAGGGGAACCATGAGTTCCCACTGGGGCACAAGCAGTTCCCCTCCAAGTCTCTAGTGGTCTAGCAACCAGGTAGGAGAGTGAAACAGGAGACATTTTCAAGTGTGTATTCTTAAAGGTCTAAGAAGGACAAAAACCAAGACTTCTGGTTATTTTAAATTGTCAGCTACTTTTCTGGAGAGACATAAAGTGCCTCTGACTTCTTAGATTGTTTACTAGAAGCACTGGTAAAACATACTTTCCTAGATTCTGATTCAATAGAAGGACAGATTCTATTTAAAGACTCATATATTACCCAGTCAACCCCAGACATTAGAAAAAGTTACAAAAGATACCTTTGCTCCAGGTAGTTCACTTGATGCTTTAGTTAAAACAGCCTCCTTCGTGTTCTGTAATTGGGACTGGGAGAAAGCCAAGGAGAGAAAACAAAGAGACCAAAAAGTGGCCGCCTTTGCTGTGGTCTTAAAAGAAACAGACCCTAAGTCTGGTTCTCAGGTCTGCAAGAAGAGCTCACTGACTAGACTCAAGGCGATTACTATGGAAAGCCAGACCACCTTAAGAAGAACTGGCTTAAGAGGCCTCCCAAGCCATGCCAGGCTGGTAAAGGGGGACCCCTGGAGGTCAGACTGCCCTCTGAAGCAAAGGACCCAGAGTTCAGATCCAACCTGTGAGTTAGTCCAGCAAGACTGAAGGGCCTCGGGCACTTACCCCCTCCCTCTGGCCAGACTGCCATCTCTACCTGCCTTCTCCATGGAGGAGCCCTGCGTAATCATGACAAGAGGTGAAAACCAGCCCAGTGCTGGACATGGGCTCGTGTCTCTTTGTGCTTCTCAGCTCTGATCTTCCTTCCAGGTCTTACACTCAATAAATGGTCACCAAAATATATGTTGCTTAAATCGTAACTGGGATAACTTTCTCTTTACTCATTCGCTTTAGTTGTGCATCAAAACCCAACTTCAATTCTGGAGAGATTTTATCCTGTCTAAATTCTGTAATATATATCCAGGTTGCCAACTAATCAAAATGATGCTCAGACTGTTTTTTACAAATGCAGGACACATTGTTGCTCATATATAAAACCTTGAGAGTTTTTCATTTGTCAAAATAGTGTGTTAATCTGGTTCTCATATATTATCAAAAATTTAGAGATAATTATAACTAAAGCTAGAGAAGTTTATGACAAAAATGTTAGACTCCATCAGTAAAGGGACCTAAGCATCAGTGGGTTACAGCTGCTACCCATTAGAAATAGTTTCTAAACTTACCTGTCAGCTCTAATGCTCAAGCTTTGATTATACATGCCTTTGTATTCAAACTTTGATTATACAATGCTTTGATTGAAGTTTGTTCTTGACTAAAAGGTGCCAAACCCCAAGACATCATACAGATAAAACCAACAACATATGCTAGCTACCTTCAGATTCCCTTTTCTGGGATCCACCAGATCTTGTCCATAGTAAAAATTATATGGCACATATTGAGGCCTTAATAATACTCAACAGGTCTTAAATGACACTACAGCTGGTCTTTCTTAAGTAAAGTAAAATTAATGAGATAAGGAATCCTCCAAAATTGGATGGCCTTAGACATTCTAACAGCATCACAGGAGGTACTTATGCCGTTGTAAAAACTAAATGTGTGGACATTCCTGATCTTCCACTAATATCTCAGTAACTGTTCAAGATATTAGATGATAAATCAATGACATGGCAGATTCTAAAAAT